CCTAATACCTTTATTTTATTTATTTATGTGGTGCTGAGGAATCCAAGCTAGTGTCCCTCGCATGTGAGGCAAGTGCTATACCACTGAGCCACAACTCCAGCCCTACATATATATTCTTTTTTAATATACTTTTTAGATGTTTATGGACCTTTATTTTATTCATTCGTTTATATGTGGTACTGAGACTCGAACCCAGTGCCTTGCACATGCTAGGTAAGCGCTCTGCCACTGAGCCCCAGCTCAGCCCTAAATATGTATTCTTTACAATCTATTTTTATCTCTTTGTTCTTCACATCTGTCCTTCAAGGGAGGTGGCACAGCAGGCCCATCTTAGGGATGAGGACACAAGACAGCACCTCAGTGGTAGTGACATCTGGGTTAGATCCTAGCCATAGCACTTGGTTCACTGCGGTGCCCATCACACCCTGTTCCTGTAAGGAGGGAGCTCAACCTTTTAGAAACAATGAACTCTTGTTGTCCCTCTGAGTCTTTCTTTCAACAGTTGAACCCCATCCCCAAATATGTGGAAACCAGGAGAGGCTTCCTGATCTGTCCCAAGGACGCACCCCTGCTTTTCTCCTCCACCCGCAGCTCTCCTTAGGCAGTTGGAGCACCCTCAGTTCAACCATTTCACCCACACTTGGCTCTCCCCCGTGTGAAGCAAGCATGATGAGGTTCCTGCAGCTTACCCTCCCAAGAGGAATCCCAGTGTCCTGTCACTGCCATTTGCCTCAGTAGGAGAGAACCAGAATCCTGGGCTGGAGTTAGTTGCTAATGGGTCTACAGATTTACTGTCTTATCTTTGGTTTTAGAATCTCACCTGACAACCTGTACAGTTCCCCTTTACACACCATTCTTCCTGTGGGTGGGTTTTGACCAACCTCTCTTATTGGCCTCTGATGTACCTTAGAGAACAGTTTCTAGACAGGTTCTTGGAATTTCAGAATAGATCTGGAAGGCTTAAAGAAAATCCTAGCTGGACATGATGGCCCCAGCCTTATATCCCAGTTACTCAGGAGGTTGAGGCAGGAGGATCAAGGTCAGCCTCAGCAACTTAGTGAAGTCCTAAGCAATTTAGTGAGACCCTGTCTCAAAATAAAATATAAAAAGAGCTGAGCTGGCAATGTGGCTCAGTGGCAAAAGCATTCCTGGATTCAATCCCCAATACCACCCCCTCCAAAAAAATTTTGAATACTGCTGGGATTCAGACAAAAAATGACATGAAATGGTATTTCTAGTTAGGTTGATCCATCTGCACTTTGACTGGTTTCTATTGAGATGATTCTCTAAAACCAGTATAAAGTAAAGGTACTGAAAGATTTTAGTAGTTAATTTAACTTTCTAACCTATAACCTCATAGAGGGGAAAAAAAAACTATATATTATGAATTTATGGCGAGGACCTTCATTCTAGGCATCCACACAGGAGTTTAAACAAAGCACAGGCATGAGAATGATTGGCAGATTCTCTCTTTCTCCCACATCATCATGCATAATTTTTTTTTCTGATTGATGAGAGATCCTACTAATAGTAAGTTGCACCAAACTCTCCCGAATGTTAAAGTTGAATAAAAGTCTCCTGCTCGACAGCATCTGGGTAGAGAAACAGGCCAGAAGAGCTTCACTAGGTGTGTACCATGGGTCTGCGCTCTGAAACAAGGGACAAACAGGAATGTGTCTGTTATGATCATGTGAGGCAGGTGCTGTGAGTGACTATGGGCCCCACTTCTCATTAGCCTTCACTAAGGCTGGGTGGCAGCCAGCGATCGCCTCTGTGTTGATGGAGTATTTGTGCAGCTCAGGAGCCAGGCTCTGCCTCTCTCAACGAGCATCTCATGATTCCTTTCTCTTTGGATCTCATGATGCCGTCCAGGAGGAGGTGCTGAAGTGATTAATGAGCAAGGCATAAAAACAACTGTGGCCCAAAGCAACAGCTGTGTCGTACCAGACACTGAATAATTAGACAAGTGAGGCAACATGGGGTCTCAACGGGTGGGGACTTGGGTGCAGAAAGCGCCAGTCTCTTCTCACTTGAATCAAGGTGTCAGGCCCTACTTGCTTCCACTTGGACTGTTCCTTTAGCTTTCTGTGTCCCATTCCTTCAGGTATGCCTCTTGGGAGTGACATAGTGACTGTCCCCTTGACCCTGAAAGCTGGGGGACTGGCTGTGCCTGTGAATAGCTGCCTGAACCTTCTATGTAGAACAGTGGGAGGGGCTGGGTTGAAATTGATGTTGCCAAAAACTTAATAATGTTTGTAACAAAAGCAAGGACTCCTGGCAAGAAATCCGAGGGCCATTCTTGATCCTAAGTGGTATCTCCTAAGCACTTTAATTACAGAGGATTAAGCAGGAAGTAGAGTGCTGGACTAAAGAAATAATGATACAAAAGAGGTGAAGCAGAAAAACCCAATTTTCTTCTTTAAAGAGGGAAAAAAATCTCCATTTATTTAAATGAATTGCAAAGAAAATAATAGAGTAGGGCACGTCTCCCAGCCCCAAGTTCAGTGGAGTTTTAAAGAACTGTGTATCTCTGGCCAGACCGGAGGCTGAGACCTTCTGCCCATCTGTAGAAAATGAACCACAGGCTTGGAGCTTCATTAAGATGCAGGAGCGCTCCTCTTGGACAAATGGCTCACTAATTCAGCCCCTTCTCTCCTGCTTCTCCTCCTGGGCTCCTGCCTGGCTTTGCTCGTATTTTACATTCAGCACCTCTGGTTACCTAGAAATGGCATGCAAAATTGTGAAATAGAAAAGCAGTGGGCCATGTGGCTCCATCAGTTCTGCCTGGTTTCGCCACATCCATGACCTCTGCTGTTCAGAGCTGGGCAAGAGGAGTTGCCTACAGAGGCCCCAGTTACCTACCAAAAGTTGCAGTGAGAAAAGATGCTCATAGAACACCTGCTGTGTAACTGCGGCAAATCTACAGAAAGGAACTGAAATCAGACTATAATGACTTCTGGAAAATAAGGAAATTACCAGAATGGAATTCAGATAAATGCTGTGGTTATTATCCAATATGCAATGGTGGTGGGATTCAAGGGTGCTTTCCTAGGAATAGCCATATCAGTCTTGGTGCCTAATAATGAGTCCTGGCTGCAGTGATCCTCCATGGTGTCCTGCATGTGACTCATGGTACCCAACATCCAGGGCGAGGAGTTTGTTTTTAGATATTATCATGAGTACCATTATTGGGAAACCATAAGATGTCATGATCCAGAGGGAGGCAAGTGAAGGTGGAGGAAGGAGGAACAAGAGTTCAACTCCCATGTGCTCAGAACTACGACTATGTTCAGCACCTCCTGTCAATCCATTGAATTCTCACACCTGTCCCACAAAACAGGCATTGTTATTCCTGTCATATAGTTGAGAAAACTGAAGCTTTGAGAAGTTGACATGATGGAAGAAGTATGGGCTTTGGAGATGGATCAGAGCCCCACCTATCACCCACCATGTTCAGTGATCTGGGGCAACCCATGTAACATCTGTTTTCTACTCTGTAAAATCCTGACAAGTCTGGATCTATGCACTGGATTATTGGGAGGATTCAATGAGATAATGTTGATAATAGCACAGTCCTGGCACACAATTGACCCTCAGAAAATGGCAGGTATTCTTCTACAATCTTGCAGAAACTAAATGTGAACCCTAAGAGGTCAGTATTTTCCCAAATTTGGGCTTCTTCCACTGTAACACCTGACCTCCAGAGCCACACTGAAAGACAACAATTAATTTATAAAGACAAATTTAGCTGGGGCATAGTGCTAGACCTGTGATGGCCCAGTGCTCTTGGAATTCTTTATGTTTCAGCCTTGTACACTGCAAATTAGTCCCCATGCTTCACTAGACGAGCTGAGATGGACCTCACTCCATGTGCACAATATTTATTATTCTCTGAACATTTCTATATGTTTTAGGTATTTTATTTAAAAATATATAACCCCCCTCCCCAAAAATTGTATGATGGAGAATTCATCACACCTGGAAACTGATTATATATGAAGGAAAGAGTTTAGAAACAATCCTTGTTCGTACCTTCACAATGTTCCAAATTATAATACTGAGATCATCTGTCTACATCTGTTACTCTAGGCATTACACGTCTTTGCATCCCTCATGAGTGGCACAGTGCCTGGCACATAGTAGTTACTCAAAGAAAATGGACTGAAATAGCAACTCAGTAACAAACAGCTGTTAAGGGAGCAAATTCCATTTCCCAGGCATGTCGCCTCCAGATCTGCTTGTGACTTCAGCTTCATTTCTGCATTTCCATGAGCACCACACTCAGCCATGAGATGGGGCTGGGTTGGTCAGGAGGACTAGAGATGCTCATGTTCAATGACTTGGAACATGGGTTAAAGGGCACCACTTCCTGTTTCCTACAGAGATGCGCTTTCATTCCCTGAAATGACAACTTCTCTGTACTCACTTAATGGGATTCCCAAATAACATGTTGCAAACCAATCTTTTATCACTGTTGCCCCCTTGGAACACATTTCAAATGCTGGCCATTTAAAAACAGGCCATTTCCCAGGCCTTTAATGATGACACTAATAACTGTGGATTTTTGTCTCCCAGAGTCCTGATGAGCCAAGCTGGGGAGTAAATTATAGAGCTAACTTTTATGTGCATGGTTTATTGATCTGTGAGCTTCAAGGGAACTACACCAGCCCCTATAGCTTGACAGTCCAGATTAGCTTTTCATCTATATAATTGGGCCACTAGGGCACAGTTAATTTTTAATTTATATTAATAGGAAGACAAAGAACAGGATATGCCATCTCTGTATTAAAGTAATGGACATATCAAAATATTCTACCTGGTAATTATAAATAAATCAGCTTTCCCATGACCCAGTGAGGATTAAGTTGCTAATTCATTGTGCAGTTCATCATAATGTATCATGAAAAAGTTCAATGCTGTCATGAATATTTATATCACATGGGTATATAAGGATCCAGCTCTCTTAATTCATGTTGCTTCCCATCTTCATTTCTTAATAGGTGAAAGTCATGCTTCGTATTTGTTCTACGTTGGCTCGTGATACCTCAGAATCCAGCTCTTTCTTAAAGGTGGACCCTCGGAAGAAGCAGATTACCTTGTATGATCCCTTGACTTGTGGAGGTCAAAATGCCTTCCAAAAGAGAAGCAACCAGGTCCCTCCTAAGATGTTTGCCTTTGATGCAGTTTTTCCACAAGATGCTTCACAAGTGAGTATAACCCCACCCTGGGGATGGACACTTATTTACCAGAACCTGTAAGCTGAGGGGGTGTCATCCAGAATACTTGATAGACCATTTCCTCCACCCACTTAGTGATTTCTAGAAATCCTTCTGAGCTCCTTTGAAGAGTTCATTCCTTCTGAGTTATTGTGTATCAATGTTTGACATACAGATGCAAGAAGATAACAGCAGGAATTAGAAGTTATAGGAACAAACACCCCAAGGAGCTGGTAACTGGTCCAGTAGGACTCTACTTCTGCCTGGGCTTCTAGGTATGGGCATGTAAGAAGGGAGAAATTGTTCAAGGGAGCTGGGTTAAAATCAGGTAGTGTCCTAGGACCCTACAATATCAAAATATCCATTGATATTGAAGGCAGGTCTGTAGTCCTAATAAGGAACTAGAATGCTAGACAGGGAAACTGAGGCTAACATGCATCCTGCCACCTGGATCCATGGAGTAGTGGGTAATGAAAGAGGCTCAGAGATAGCGGCTATGTCAATTCACTGATGATGCATTTCAACCCACTATTCAGTGCTAAAACAATAAACATTTATTATGTTGTTCAGGACCATTTGGGCAATTCCACAGCTAGTTTGACTCTCTTGTGATAAGCTGTGGGTTGGATAGGCAGCTCTGAGGATCTTGGCTGGATGCTATCACATGTTTGGGGTTGGCTGGCATTCGGCTGGTCTACAGTAGCCCTGGCAGGGTTAACAGGTCTCTCTTCCATGTTGTCTCTCATTGTCCAGCAGGCTAGCTTGGACTTGTTCTCATGGCAGTGTCCAGGTCTCAACTATGCAGGCCTCTTTAAGGCCTGTGTCCACAATTGATGCAACATCATTTCTGTAGCCTCCTATTGGTCCAAATTATTGGGATGGGGATGAGACTTCTCTTTACTGGATGAGCTGCAAAGTCACATTTCAAGAAGCATGCACACAGGTTGAGATGGAGAACTGGGGCCATTTTTGGCAATCACATTATTTGGTGGTTGTGGGGGGGGTCATAAAGCTAAGATTTTTGGACCATAGGCAACCAAGGAATTGCAGACCCTATCAGATGGTGCAAATGAAGCTTCTAGTCCACATCTGTTCTTACTGGGATTATCTCCTGATGAATGTGGACCTCTAAGTTGCACCCAAGAGTGCCACTTTGAGGGACTGGGGATTGGGAAAGTAGCATGAGTATGGGACTGATTATTTGCAGAAATCAATAAATAACCCAGGACTGGGATAAGCTTAGCTGGGGACTATATATATATAGCACGTACAAGGCCCTGGGTTCAATCCCCAGTGCCAAAAATAAGTATACATACACGTACATGCATACGTACATACATATATCAACCAGGTTATTAAGTGTATGGTGGCCTACTTGCCGACACTGTGGCATCAAGACATGTGTATCTTTCTGATAAATATTTAGTACTTTCCAAGATTTACACAACTCTGCATAGTATGGTAATAGCCTACTGCTGAACTGGAGAACAACACCAGTAGTTACAATTGCAGCCTGTTAATTTCCTCTATAATCTGAGTATAGGAAGTAATGATGTTCACACATGTTCCTGTATTACACCATAAGCACACAGGGCACATTATAGGCTTTATCCATTAAGAAACTGAGCATGGGACTGGGATTGTGGTTCAGTGGTAGAGTGCTAGCCTAGCACGTGCAAGGCCCTGGGTTCAATCCTCAGCACCACATAAAAAAAATAAATTAAATAAAGGTATTGTGTCCAAATACAACTAATATATATATATATATATATATAAAGAAGCTGAGCATGTGGTTTTCCCAAAGAATGTTACCATAAGAAGACAAAGTACTTTATGAATGAGTTCTATGGTTTCTCTGTTTAAGTTCTGTGTTGTACCATCCAGTGGTAATTTGAACCTGACATTGGATCTAATAAATGATCTACAAATAATTTAATTAATAATAGCTAAAACTTTTCAGAAACAGATCTTGGTAAGTTGTAAAATTCCAAAGGAAACCCTAAATTATGCATGGACTATTAATGATTTTAAATTTATTCCAGAAAAAAAGGAGTAATTTTTATCACTAGTTTTAGTTTAACACATTTTGCACTTGTTTTCCAAACTCAATATGCTCAATAATGCAGTTCATTCACTTTAAGAGTATTTCAATTTGTTCAAATGTTTAATATTATTACATTTCTATATAAATTTGCAGTTTTCAAGAAGTCTCATATACTAATGTATATGTAATGTCACTGACTCTCCCTTGAACTCTGTGGGGTAGGAAATGGAGGCTTTAACTGTTTTCACATTATAGACACAGAAACTGAGATCCAGAGAGTAGGTCACTTTTTGATGGCCCCTCTCCTGAGCAGCCATCCTTCCTGGATTCTCCCCATTAACCTTTCCGTACTCTGCTCAGTATGGTGTGTCTTGTCCACCCATTTTATCCACCATTTTCTAGTAGCATGTCCTTGGACAAGACACTATGTCTCTCAAGGCCTCAATGCACTCATTTGTCAAATGAGGACACAGATAAAATGTGATCATCAGATGAGATCATCAGGCTATTGTGATTCATGGAGTTGATACACAGAGCTAGGAACATAACAAGTGTTCAATTAATGATAGCTATTTTTACTATTATATCATCATTGTTAATGTTAGTATGCTGCTTGGTCATGGCCAGCTCAGCCCCTCAAAGTGAGCACTCCAAAACTCAAAACAGGCAAATGTGCAGAGCAGATCTTGCTCAGCTTCTTGCCTGGGAAGCAGCAACAACCCTGGTGACCCCAGACCATTATAAACTATTGATTGCTTTCTCCCAGTTTCAAAGGGTATCAGCTCCTGAAGTGAAGCAGTGACTATAGCATTGCCTGCTCCTCCTTGCCTTTGATAACAATCCTTATTACCCTTAAATGGCCTTGGCAGTCACTAGCTGCACTCTGTTGGGACCCATTCTGCTGGGTATAGTTTAGGGAAGGGTGGTAGGGAGGTTTCACACTAGTGGATGAATTGGAGGCTCTGGCAGACCAGGCCCTGCTCAAGAGATATATGCTTGGGAGGACTGCCTGTATCTCTGGGTCCATGAAGAAAGGCAGCAAAGGGCTTCCAGGGGCCACTGTCAGCTCTTAATAATAATAAGGTGAACAAATTATTGACCAGTCTGGATGGACAGCCAGGAGGGAACTCTGTAAGAGTCTGCCTACCACATTCTGTGTCTTATTAGGCTATTCTTGTATCTTTTTTGTCCCCTGGCCTCTGTGCATATGACAATTTGGTCCACACACAATCAGCATTCTCCCCAGTGACTTAAGAATCTAATAGCTTATTTTATGTACAGCTCCCAGCCCCCACCTCGCTTCATGTCCAAAAGGCCAATGGCCACTGGGCAGTAATGTCCCCCTGCTCTACAGAGGCGCCTCTGGCAAATTCCATCAACATTCTGCTGCCTCTGTCTCAGGGTCTACCGCCAGGCTCTCATTGCTTCAGTCCTGGGGGTTGTGAACCATCCTGTGGTCCCCTCGGCAGCCCTGTCACACCGCCCCCTCAGCCCAGGGGGAACCCCAGGCAGAATTGCTGAGGCGACCACCCCAGAACAATTGACAATTGTTGGGAGTGTGGTTTTTCAATTTCAGTTTGGGAGAGAAAATTGATTTCCAAATACTTAGGTTCATTGTGTTGCTGAAACCTGGAGCTGAATAACGACATTCATAGCTGAGATTGCTGGTTTTCAGGTTCCTACTGGGAGGTACATTGCCCTGATGACCTCAGAGCCCCAGTGTTTGCTTGACTCTCAATGCTTCCATGAGCTCCGACTCCAGTCCCAAGATAGAAATAAGGGACACAGAGAATGATTTTGTCCTCCTGCTGCTGCAGAAACTTTAGATGCTAACCAGAAAGAGATTTCCCAGATCCCCAAGTTGGTCCAGAAACTTTACTGAATTCCTATCATTCGGAGAGTGCTGTATTATTGAGTGTTAATGGGAAAATATAAAGTCATCAAGTATCAAGTTCCTGCCTAACGATTTAATAATCAAATCGGAGATGAGGCAGGCATAGGCTAAAGAACACCCGTCTAACTTACTGACAAGTGGCAATTGATGTTGTACACAATGAATACATGCGAAGAGAAAGAAAGACAAGACTGGTTTTGAAAAGGGGAGGATGTGGATTGAAAAAGAGGAAAGAGATCAGGAGAGAGGGCAGACCTATATCATAAACCTCTTGATTGTATTCGAACTATAAATTTTCTCAAGTTCTTTGTCCTGAAATAATATGTCATCTTTTTCCTTCTAATAACCTAGTCCATTTCATAAGTGTGTGTGCTGTCTGTGAAGGAAGGTTCTAATTTTCCAAGGGCCAATGGAGAGTTAAAATGCCTTTTCCCAGAGGTCAGAATGGTAGACGAATGAAGGGAACAAGGTACATGGAAACATACTCCCACAGCCACCTGCACCTACCTGGTCCTGGGATACTGCTGAAGTGCACCACCAAGGAGCAGCAGGCAGGCTTGCAATTAGCTCACATAATGCTCAGGCTTGCAAGAGACAGAGGGTACCCAAGAGTTCTGAGACCCTCTCAAGCTCCATGGCAGAGGCTAATCCATCTGGGGGAACCCCAGGCAGAGCTGGGACCTTATGCCCCAGGAAGGTGGGCTCACTTTTACGTTGTTAATGGTGCCTCTACTGTATGGTTCATTAATGGCTCATATCTCCTCTCATGTCTGACAGGCTGAAGTGTGTGCTGGAACCGTGGCAGAGGTGATCCAGTCTGTGGTCAACGGGGCGGATGGCTGCGTGTTCTGTTTTGGCCACGCCAAGTTGGGTTAGTGAGAGCTTTTACTTTATGCTGCTCATTGGGTCCCTCATTCTATGCTTCTATATTAGTCCCATAGTCCCAGATGAAAGGAAGGGTCAAATTTCTCTAAGGTGCTGAGAGAACAATTACTTCTGCCTTTGAAATGTAGGTACTTGTAAGTGGACACCCATTCCTGTAGGGCAGCTGTCAAGCTCAGGAAAGAAACAAGGGAATAGCAGTGGTCCAGGTCAGGGTCAAGCTAAGAAAGCAAGCACGAAAATGTACATTTCCTGAGCAGAGGCTCCTTGGGAAGCAGATGGACCCCCTGCTCCCCTGCCAAGATGATTTGTGTTGGTAGATGGAACCAATGGAACAGCCAGATTAACAACCTCTAAGCAAAGTCAAGTGTCATGTTAGGATCTGTCTGGGAACATCAGACAAAGCCATCCTTGTTTCCCAGCAACCAGACACTATCAGGAATCCTCTTGTGCTGAAACATTTGGGAAAGGATGCAGTGAGACACACCCCCAAGGGTTTTCACTGAATCCTTCACTGTCCCTTCTTAATACTAACCCATGGCCCTCTATCTGCTCACTAGACCTTGCATTACATGCCTGATAAGTTAGTAATTTGGGGAGTCCCAAAAAAGTGTCCCTAGGCAGAGATTGCATCAGAAACATTGCAGAAGTCTTGAAACTCAGTTCTTGGCCAGGACAGAAAGCCTATCGCATCTCTCCACTTCTGTCTTCCCTGGACCTTCCTCTCATTTGATCTTGGATCAAAGCAGGACTCCAGGTTTTAATGGAATTTGCTCATGCTGTAAAAATATACACAGCAGTTAACTTGAGAAAGGATATAAAGTATACGTGGATTTGATCTGTGGGGTAGATGTAAAGTGAACCATAATAGTGATGAAAAGTCCCTGCCTTCCCACTATATGTAAAACAATGCAGAAACTGGATAGCCTGTGATAAGCGTGATCCTCTTCAAGGTGCACTGTGATTTCATCTTGTCATTTGTTTGGGCTCTCACATTCTGTATTATAGCCATTTCATTGCTAGTACTAGGAACTGCCTTTTTTTTTTAATTTGTCATCAAATGCACACTATTTTTCTTACCTTCTAATTCCCTTCCTTCCCTTCCACTCACTCCCCCATGCCTGCCTTCTATATCCTTAGCATCTGTTTTGAGACTCTGTAGCATGATGCCAACAATCAGCCTGCTCTTCTCCCTTTCCTTGCTCCCACAGGAAAATCCTATACCATGATTGGGAAGGATGATTCCATGCAGAACCTTGGCATCATTCCCTGTGCCATCTCTTGGCTCTTTAAGCTCATCAATGAACGGAAAGAAAAGACGGGAGCCCGTTTCTCTGTTCGGATCTCAGCCGTAGAGGTGTGGGGGAAAGAAGAGAACCTGCGGGACCTTCTATCTGAGGTGGCCACTGGCAGCCTGCAGGATGGCCAGTCCCCGGGCGTGTACCTCTGCGAAGACCCCATCTGTGGCACACAGGTGATTGCTTCTGGAAGTTTGGCTTGCTCTGAGGTGGCTCATCCCTACCTCGGAGGCTGGGGCAGTTGAGCCGTGAATCACTCACCATGTAAACTGGGAAGCTTACAAGTGTTTACTTTAAAGTGGACTGGAACTTTATGGCCTGCAGCTGTGGGGCCATCTGCTTACCCAACCTAAATATTTGTACCTTGAATCTAATTGACAATGAGCAGGAACCACAATTGTCGTAGCATTTGAGGGAAAATTGAATTCACTTTCTTTACGTTCCTTTCCAAAAAAGAAAAGTACAATCTTTCTTTTGTTTAACAACAAACCGAAATATTTACTGCTCTGCACAAATAGCTGCAGCCATTACTGGGGCTGTTTATGGCCCTATAAACTGTGTTTCTGGCACTGGTTTACAGCCGGATTAGCAGTGCTGTAGGAAAAACTAATAACCACTTTCTAATTAGAACCATGATATAATTGCTGGAATGAAGGAAGCCAAGAGAAGATCCAGTTCGCCTTTTCAGGATGTCACGCCTTGTTATAAGGATCTCTCTCCTTGCTCTTTGACAATAGATGTAGGAATGACTCAGGAGCTCCCTGGTTCATATCCAGAACAATCACTTTGGCCTCCTGCAGTAGGCTTTGTTTTCAAGGTTTACCAGATGTCTCTCTCTTTCTTTCTTTTTTTTCCTCTCTCTCTCTCCCACTATTTTTTTTTTAATTAGCTAAGGTGTTCCTTTTAATAAGTACCTGATTCATCCCAGCTGGGACTGTTTGCACAGGTGAAGGTGCCTGTGCCTCTGTTACACCCTTGTACCCAAACTTGTCCATGCTCAATCTCTGCTTAAAATATCCTAGATCTTCCATTTCCTTTTTGAATCCTCTCAAGCCTACATCAGTCACCTGGAGGACTTTTTGAAACACAGATGCTCAGCTCCACCCCAGAGTTACTGACTCTGTAGGTCTGAGGTAGAACTACCTGAAAGCACATTTCTAACAAATTTATATGTGATGTTGATGCTGCCTGTCCAGACACCACACTTTGAGAACAACTATTCTGAAGCATAAAACATGCTCAGGTGCTTGCTGGTCCACATATAAGTCACAAAAATGTGTCTTGATTGCCATCCATGGTTTTTTTGTTTTGTTTTGTTTTGTTGCAGTACAGGGGATGAAACCCAGGAGTGCTCTACCACAAAGTTACATCCCCAGCATTTTTCTCTTTTACTTTGAGACAGGGTCTCACTAAGTTGCTCAGGCTGGCCTCAACCTTGCCATCCTCCTGCCTTGTCTTCCTGAGTAGCTGAAATAATAGGTGTGTGCCACCCCATCTGGCTCTGTTCACTTTTATGAGTCCATTGATGAAGGTCACTTAAATGAAAGATCTGATTAACTGAAGGCAAACAAGATGAAGAGGCCAACATCCTCCTTATTTTAAATACATTCCCCTTGTGGAAAACATGTTTTTAATACTTCCGTCTACTTTTCTATGACAAGTACAAAACCACAAACAGAATACAAACTCTCTTTGAAGTTCAAGGATTTTGCTGATCTTAAGTTCCAAATATTGGCTTTCACACTTCAAAACTATAGGTATAGACTCAGAGTAGAACATTGTCAATATTTCTTCTAACCTTAAGACATACTGCAAATTAGTTCTTTGAACAAATCAGAAATAGGAGTTTCTTTTTCTCCCACAAAAAAAGAGGAATGCTGATCAAAATCTGATAATAGGATTGTTCTGATTCAGGCTTACTATAATTGCCATGAGTTCTCATAGGATTTAGACACGTTGCACACTATGCTTTCTCTAATCGATTACTGATTATGCCACAAACATGAGTTCAGTAACTAAAGGTGAAATTAGATAGCTCTTGAATACAGATGAGACCTTCAAGTATCTTGGGTGTTTCAGCGAGCCTTTGATAAGTACTTCTTATTCATAACTACACTGGAAAGTGTGGCCTAAAATTAGCTTTCATTAAATAACTGAAAAAAAATAGGCATCAAGTGAAAGCTAACTAAGTTTTATACTTCCTTGGGACACCAGTGCTTGTCAGACCTAAAATCGCATTTTGCAAACTCTCTGTCTCCAAACAATCTAATCTCTGAGATCAACATGCAGTCACATCCCTCCTGTTTTCTTAGGTAAATGGATAGCCCTGGGTTATTGGTTTGCTGTCCTCTGCAATGATAAGGATGGGTCATCTGCTCCCATTGATCACTCAGATACAGCCTTTGCTTTTCACACCTGCGAGTTACAGATACTACTTAGGGTGTAAAATAGATAAAAACAAGTTGCATCCACTAAGTGTGCTCAATATTAATTTGCAGAAATAAATTAATTAAACTGAGAATTGCACATGAATACCGGGCCTAGTTCCAGAACGACTTTTGACCTTCGAGAGGCATATGGCTTTACTAGACACAGTGGACAGCAACTGAATGGAGCAGTTAACACCCAGGCATGAGTGACAGGCAAGCCCTCCATCGGCTTGCAGCCCCAGCTCTTGGCTTTGTGTCTTCTAGCTGCAGAACCAGAGTGAGCTGCGGGCCCCCACTGCAGAGAAGGCGGCTTTCTTCCTGGACGCTGCCATTGCTTCCCGTCGGAGCAATCAGCAGGACTGCGATGAAGATGACCACCGCAACTCCCACATGCTCTTCACCCTGCACATCTACCAGTACCGGATGGAGAAGAGCGGGAAAGGTGGAAGTAAGTGCCTGTCTCCCTCCCGCACCTCCTCATCAGCTCTCACCCAGCAGACCCCTTCCTCCAGGGCCATCATGACCTTCTCTCTCTCTCTTTTTTTTTAATTAAAAAAAATTTTTTTAGTTGTAGATGGACACAGTACCTTTATTCTATTTATTTATTTTTATGTGTGGTACTGAGGATCAAACCCAGTGCCTCACTGTTCTAGGCAAGCACTCTACCACTGAGCCACAACCCCAGCCCCCATGACCTTTTCTTAATAGAATGACACCAACATGGAGTGATTTGTAATTCAGGATAATTGTAGAGTCTGGGCTGAAGTTCACTTTTGAATTGTCCAAGGGCAAAAAGGTTTGCTTTGATAAAGATAATTTACCAATGTGATTGCCATGGGCATGTAAAAGAAAAAACTTAAACACAACAACTGCTTGCTGAATAGTATCTTTCTGTTTATAAAACTGAAGGTGCTCATCACAAAAGGCCAACATTTGGCCACCAGCACACCCTGGCAATATGCCATTCATTGTTAACTTGAGTCTACTCCATGGATTTAAATAGTCTGTAAATCAGACTTTGGAATAACTAACCAGACAGTGGTTGCCTCCCTCAGGCAGGATCCCATCAGTAACATTTCATTGTAAAAACACAGCTATTCTGCTAGGACCCAATGCTGTGGTTCCCAGTCCCTTCATGGCTACTTTGTCAAAGCTGGCACTTGGTCTTGGTGTATTTCTCCATCCTTGCCCTTCAGTGGCATCTACTTGAAGTTCACCAGATTTGAGTGCCAGTGTTCAAATGAGTGTCATAGTGGAAGAAGGTGGGAGATCTTGGACCACAGACAAAGTGGTCCCTTGACCTCACTGGGTTTCCTAAAACAAGTTGTGAGTTGGGCATGGTGGTACACTCTTGTAATCCCAGTGACTGAGGAGTCTGAGGCAAGAGGATCACAAGTTCAAAGCTAGCCTCAGCCATTTAGCAGGGCCTTAAGAAACTTACTGAGACCCTGTCTCAAAATTAAAAAATAAAAAGAACTGGAGATGTAGCTCAGTGGAAAAGCACTCCTGGGTTAAATCTTCAGTACTCTCCCCCCTAAAAACAAACAAACAAAAACAAATTGTGGGCCAGGAGGCTTGGCCCAGCCAGACAGTGGCTTCCTTATCAGTCTACCACTGTAGAGTTTTCAAAACCCAGGCAACTGGCCCTTAGTGTTTCCTGATTGATTGTCCCAAGGACACTGGATGCCAGAAAAGCAAACAAACAAAAGAAACCTCTTAAATTCAGAAAATAATCCTAGCCTGGAAATTATAAATGCAATTGACTAAAACAGAGGCAATCAACACATCTATTCTAGATGAAACCTGGAATTAAGGTATCCAACTGGGATCTGTGGAGAGGGTCCTTGATTTCTCCCCAGGTCTCCTTGTTGCCTGAAAGACATGAAAACCAGTAGTCCTGGAGATAGCTCTTAGGGGCCACTATTGCCCCCTCTCTCCCCATCTCAGTGTCTCCACTGACCCGTCCGTGTTCTGCCACTATTCCTACTCCTTGGCTCTTGTTTTTAAAATTCAGATTTACTGAGGTATAATTTTTATATTTAGTGAAACTTACCCTTTTTATGTGTCTTGAGTTGAGTTTTGGCAAATATGTAACCACAACCAGTACCAAAATACAGAAGAATGCTATGTCAAGTTCCCTCTTTCTCTTTGTAGTCAGCTCCTTGCCCCTGTCTCAGTCTCCTGGCAACCACTGACTCGGACTTTCATCTTTGTGGTTTGGTTTTTATCAATAATAGCATATGAATGGAATCATGTGACCCATAACGTGGCCTTTTGTGCCTGAGATACATCTGTGTTGCTGCATGAATCAGGTGATCACTTATCTTCCTTGCTGTCTGCTTCTTTAACTGGTTTAGAGATTTGTCCTCTGTACCCATCCCCAGGAATAAATGAAAATACCCTCACCCAGGGCTGGAGTTCCACTAACCCAGGTTACCCTTTATAGCTCTGAAAATCAACCTTGAGCTATTGCTGCCCAAGGGGTCCAGAGATATTGGCTCTGATTTGCAGTGCGTTGGGCACCCCAAGAAGGTGGGCTGTTAGCAGAAGACCAGACTTCTCTTGACAGCTCAGAAAGATGAGAAGGATTTGACTGGGACAGAGCAGAATATGCTGAGGGGGACTCTTTCAGGAAAAATGAGTTCAGTTTCAGGGCACTTAACATTTGTAAGGAAGGAAACAAGGGATTAGGAGAAGGGTAAGAAGATCTAGACCTTGAAAATCCACCACAAAATTGAATGCACGTTTCTCCTAACAATCTGGAAACTGGCTTTACATCCTGCCTTCACTGTTTTTTCTGGTTAATGTCTTAGCAGAGTGAATGTGAGAGTCTGAAAAATGTTTATTTCTTCAAAGTAGCTGTCAAAAATAATAAAAATAATAATAGCCTGCTGTGGGTTCTCGTGTTTTCAGCAAAGGGTAGCTCACAGAATATCTGACATGAACTGACATGATATGCTATCTCACCCTGGGCCCAAAGCAATGGAGTTTGCCATCTATGAACTGAGACCTCTGAAACCATGAGCCTCAAACACACTTTCCCTCTTCTAAGTTGTTCTTGTCAGGTATTTTGGTCACAGCATTGAAAAGCTGACCAAAGCAAATTTCCAAGGAGGCTTTTAAGCCATTACAGATTTAGAAGGGCGAGACCTCTATGATGGGTAAAGAATCAGCCTTGGGGCTGGGGATGTGGCTCAAGTGGTAGCGCGCTCGCCTGGCATGCGTGCGGCCCGGGTTTGATTCTCAGCACCACATACAAACAAAGATGCTGTGTCCGCCGAAAACTAAAAAATAAATATTAAAAAATTCTCTCTCTCTCTCTAAAAAAAAAAAAACAACAACAATAAAAAAAGAATCAGCCTCACCAATGTTCCCCAAACCTTGTAAACCAGGCAGCTGTTTTGAGTCTAGCAGAATGCTATCTGCAAAACAGTGATACATCAACAAAGAATGTTCATTTGATCTTGACTGGAAATGTTTAAAACATTTGTCTCTCTACTTATATGTGTATAAGATTCAGGTAGGTACATATAATCACAGGGTGTCTTCTTTTCTTGCAGCACAGGTCTCTGATATTCTAACGGCCTGGTTAATAGCAGCAGCGAGCGAGCTCTGCTTCCTGCTTCCCTGCAGGGTGACTAATTAATAAACTTTCTCTTAATTGAGTTTTGCCTGCCAAGTCCACAGGGATTATTGCTTATATATAAGTAAACAAAATTTCCATTTTAAACAACACTTCAAATCTTTTCATTATATTTTAAATGTGCATATTTAATAAAGTTAAGCGAGCTGTGGGCTGAGAGGCTGTGGGTTTTGTGGCCCAGATCCCTTCCCTCTGGAGGAGCTGGGTGCTCTGGCAGGTAGGAGGTGTCCCCCAGATTCTTCTGAGGCATAACCCTCAGCAGCCTGGACTCTTGCCCCTTCTCTATTCTCCTCTATTGCAACATTAGAAAGCACCTAAAAGAGGTTTTTGGAAGCCATTAATGGTATTTGCCTTTTCCTTTAACCTGAATTTATTATTTAAAAGCAATTCTTTTCACAATTTAAAAATAGGAAGAAGATGAATTTCATGTTAAATATTTAATAAATGCCTAGGTTTGCTAGGTACCAATTTGGAGAGGCACTTTCCATTTAGGAAACTTCTTCCACCAAAGCTTTGTGGAAACTGAATTTCAGGACCTTACATTTGAGATATTTTAACTGTTTCATTGTTTCACAATATTTTTCCCTACTCTCAGATTCCAAATTGAAAGCAGAACAAAAAAATAAAAAAGTGAAAAACTAAAAACAGAGTCATCCCCTGATCCCCAGTTTGGTTTGCAACATAGAAGAGCGGGGGTTGTCCCACCCTCTAGGATTTTCTGCTCAGTGCATTTGGGAGCTATTGGCTCCCAAAGAGATTCAGATATTCTGTGAGCTACCCTTTGCTGAAAACACGAGAACCCACAGCAGGCTATTATTATTTTTATTATTTTTGACAGCTACTTTGAAGAAATAAACATTTTTCAGACTCTCACATTCACTCTGCTAAGACATTAACCAGAAAAAACAGTGAAGGCAGGATGTAAAGCCAGTTTCCAGATTGTTAGGAGAAACGTGCATTCAATTTTGTGGTGGATTTTCAAGGTCTAGATCTTCTTACCCTTCTCCTAATCCCTTGTTTCCTTCCTTACAAATGGGGAAGGGCCCAGAGGAGGAAAGCTGTCAGTTCATGGCAGTCTCAGGAAGCAGAGAGAGAGAAAGGGGGAGGATCCACAAGGAAGATGAACCCTTTCAGGTGACTCACCTCCTCAGTGACCCACCTCCTCCAGCCATGTCTCACCTACCTACAGTTACCACCTAGTCAGTCCATTCAAACTAGGATGAACTGAGTAGGTTACAACTCTCATAATCTGATCATTTCATCTCTGAATATTCCTGCATTGACAAGGGAGCTTTTGGGGGACACCTCATACCCAAATCATAATAGAATTCAAGTATTGGGGAAGAGATCCCCTAATGATCAGACAGCTCTCCTGTTATTAATGGGTGTTAGGCATCTAAAGCAAGATAGTACTATAATGCTTCAGAGTAATATGTCAGTGAAACACAAATTTACCTATTGTGTTGATAAAGATGGTCTTTAAAAGCATCACTTTAATGAGTAAGCTAAGCTTGCAAGCAACTCCTGCCCAGCATCCAGAATGACATTAGGTATCTGATGTATTTTTATATTCTGTTGCTCTGAGGAGGCCAATGTGGGCTGGGCTGGCTGTATGTGCACACAGAAAGGAGTGTAAGTGAATTTGGGTGTGTCTGTATCTCCACTTATCCATTTATAAGTCTGATCACACCATTTCTTTCATCTCAGTTTTCTTTTGACAACGAGCCTCTCTTTCTTTATGTGTCATGGAATGGTTTGAATCAGCATGCCCTCTCCAGGGCTATGTGTTTGATATGACTTTAAAG